GATAAAATAGCCTAAGAAGCATTTCTAAAAGATCTTTGATCTTTTAGAAGTCGACTGGTGTGAAAAGCACCCGGTCCAGAAAAGCCAAGGGAGCTCCCTTTTAAGCCTGCCTTCATGCCATTTTGCTCAGACACATTTACAGATGCTCCATCAGTATCCCCACCAACAAGAACAGGATAATTACTAGCTGAAAGAAAACTAGATTTATCAAGTACATTCTCCACTCCCTTAGCTATCAATGAGACCATCAGAATCAGCGTTAGCAGGAACTTGAAGTGAGAGATATCGTGTACAACATTTAAACACCTTAGCTGCATCATCCCGCAAACAATACTGGACAACTACAAGCTCGTTTTCAACATTACCAGAATCAGTGGAGCCATCCATGAGAAAGCTAGAAAAGCTTGAAGTAAAATTATTGACGAAGTTACGCCTCTGGCTCTCAGCAATGTAATGAGTGAAGGTTTTTGCAGATTCCCTTGTTTTGTAAACACAACCAAGGTCTACCCCATGACATTCCTCTAGTTGATGTAAGGCTTGGTATTTTCGAAAGACCAAGCTTTTTTTCGCCATGACATAACAAATGTCGAATTTTCGTTGAACGCGGGCTTGGGCGGACTCCTCCATTGCTATTAGACTACGTGCAATGGGGACAAAGGAACTCGAGAGGACCTTGCAGCTTCAGTACGAGCAATCGCCATGGCAGCACGGTGCTGTTCACTAGTGGCATGATCGACAATATTGCTATTTTTATGATTTTTTGTGCCTGTGATCCATGCTGAAGAGAAGTCTTTTCTCCCAGTGATTTTGCTCTCATGCGTTCTGCACACCTCACACCACAGGCAATCCACTAGTGACTTATTGTGGGTGTCTTTGTCGTGTCAGCCGGCTGCTGTATAGCACGTGCACCGGGCAGCAGGTTGCTGGCTTGGGGGCCGCCATCGTCATCGGCCGTCCAGTCATGCATGGGCGTAGTTTGGGCGGACAGTATCGTGTCACATTCAGTATCTGCTCCTTCACCATGGCGATTCAACCAGATTGAAAGTTCCCGATCTGATTGAATGACGGTGGTAGCGATGAATCGAAGGTGAGACGATCTGCTCGGTGTTAACTAGCGTGCAACTGAACTAGGCAACCACGTGTCAGGTTGTGCACGACGCATGCACAGTGACTTTAACTATGCGCCATGTCTGCGCTGCCGTGTGTGTGGCTCCTTATTGTTAACCTCATTAACCTCCCATTAAACTACATTGATTTCTGTAATTGACAAGCCCTGTATTGTTGCCACTTTTGTTCACTGTGAATGATTTAAAGTGTGATGACAATTGTGAAGGGATTCTGTGGAAGGCCAAAACACAGTATGTTAATTACAGAAGTGAACATTGTAATATAAGACTTCAAAAACCACTTAGCGATATTATATTATAGTGTTAGTGTTGGGGAAAGTTAGAATTGCAAGCAATGTCATTTTGAAGTTTGTAGTATCATCCTTTCCATATACTACTGCATCACATTCTTTTTCCTTGAAGAAGTGTTATCATGGGTCCAGTTGACTTGTTTGGCCTTGTTACCTCATCGTCACGCATGCACAGTCTCTTCTCTGCTTGCTTTTTATACAATCCCAGTATTAACTGTAGCGTGGCTTCTGCACGTTCAACAGCTTCCTCAGATATAGCAATACCGATATCAGGTCGAGCACACATATGAATTTAGCAAGGTGCGTTATAGTGAGTTAGTGTAAGGGTGAATTATACAGGAGAACAGGATAACATGTGGGTATGTAAGTCAAGGGCAGGTGAGGGATGTTCAGGAGTGCGTGAAACAACGTGGGTTGGAGTCATGTAGCTTCTGTTGTCTGCCTGGTTACACTGTCTCTCTCCCAATGAGGAATCCGCCCCGGATTTAGATCTGATTGTGGTAATAATCTGGAGGTCTCCTCTGTCTTGCTGGGTATCTGCAAGGCGGAGGGGGCGGTGCAGCCGGTGGATGGAAGGGCATCCTTGTCCCACCAAATTGGGTGCTGCTTGAGGTGTAGGTAAATCACTGACGTTATCTTCTACCAGTTCCAACGATGTCCCCACTGCGGGCTGTGAGATGGCTTGGTTTGCTTCCTTTGGGTCCCTTAATGTCTGATATTGTGTTGGTGGGCGAACTTGTTGAGGGCACGGCTTTAAATGATTGAAGTGCACCACTACACGCCGATTGTTCTTTAGGTGCTGAATGCGGTAGGTGGCCTCCGAGATCCTCTTTAGAACACGGTACGGTCATTTCCAAGGTAGGGAAAGTTTCTTAGAGTGTCTTTGCGGTGTAGCTGGAGAGTGTAGCCAGACATAATCTCCCTCATTGAATGGATCTCCATGTACTTTCTTGTTATAGAAGTCTTCAAACTGCACCCCATTTTATGGCGGATTTGTTGGTAGGCCTTCTCGAGACCCTCCTTCAGTTGAGCAGCATATTTTGTGACTGCCATTGATGGAAATGGGGCCCCATACATTAGGTCGATAGGCACTTTTGCTTGACGGCCTGACATCAAGTGTATACCCTATCGCGGCTTGTATGCTGCAATTATATGCCGTACAGAGGCTCCTGAGATGACTCTCCCATTGGTTTGGATGGTTAGCCATCATACTCAGGAGAGTACGGTTGACATGCTCAACCAGGCCGTCTGACTGTGGGTGATACAGGGTTGTTCTGGTTTTGACAATTTCCAACAGGCGGCTGATTTCGGATATCACATCAGACTCAAAATTGTGGCCCTGGTCAGAGTGCAACTGTTCGGGGAGGCCAAAGCGAAAAATATTTGTTTGTCAGTCTGTGGGCTGCAGTAGTGGCCAATTGATCCGCGAAGGCTTCGACCCACCGAGTAAAATAGTCACTCACCACAAGTATGTACCAATTTCCCTTGAAAGAAATTGGGAACGGCCCCATGATGTCCATTGCTACAATTTGGAGTGGGTATCCCATTTTGATAGATGTTAGGGGCGCTCGAGATCTTATGGATGGTGCCTTCCGAGAGGCACAAACTGCGCAAGTTTGGCACAAATTTCTCACATCTTCATAATGGCCTGGCCGGTAGAAACACTCTTTTAGGCGGTTTAGCGTCTTGTCTATCCCCAAGTGGCCTCCAGTGATACCTTCGTGCAGGGTGCTGAGGATTTCCTCCTGCAATATTTTTTGGTATAACCTGCTGGACATGATTCTGCTGGTTGTTCGCTTGTGCATAGAGCCGGCAGATTTGTAGTTGATCCCAAATCTGTATCAGACATCTGGTGTATCGGCTTGCTCCACCCATATCCAAGGGGGTATGTTTACGGCCAGACTCTTTTCCAAGCAGTAGCGGCCCTAGTAGAGGGTCTGCCAGCTGTGCTGCGCGAAGATCATCAGTTTTAATTGCGGGGGGGACATCTATAGTAAGGATATTCGCTGTATTGCAGGGTTGCTCATGCGTGGCCCGTCCACACTGACTGCATGGAAGGCGAGAGAGTGCATCTGCATTAATGTGACTTCTTCCTTGCCAGTGCACAATGATGTAATCGAACTCCTGCAATTTTTCCAGCCATCGAGTTAACTGTCCCTCAGGGTCTTTGAAATTTTGCAGCCACATCAAGGACCCGTGATCTGTCCGTAAAATAAACTTCTGCCCCAGTAGGTATGGCCAGTAGAAGTAGACAACGGCTAGGAGTTCTTTATGTGTGACACAGTACTTGCACTCAGGCTTTGTGAGTAAATGACTGCCGTATTTTATCACATGCTCCTTACCATCTTTTCCAATTTGCGATAGCGCAGCCCCTATTCCGGTGTCACTGGCGTCGGTGTCGGGGGTGAACGCATTCTTGAAATTGGGGTGAGCTAAGACTGGTGCTTGTGAAAGGAGCAGGCGCAACTTTTCAAAGGCCTGTTGGCAGTCAGTGGTCCACATATATTTGCTCGTATTCTCTTAGCCGGTGGAGTGGTTTTGCGATAATAGCCGGCTAGCCCGAGGCATTACTGGTCACTTTTTACTGAGTTGGGCTTGGGCCAGGTCACAATTTTTATCAGGAGCTATGCCCTCTCTTGAAATAATGTGGCCCAAATAGTTTACTCTCTCTTTGAAAAAGGAACATTTTGGTTTCAGCCCTGCTTCGCGGATCCTTTGGAGCACACTCTGGATGTTGCCAAGATGATCCTTGAAAGTAGTCCCCAGTATGATGATGCCGTCTAGATAGACGAGGCAATGTGACCATTGCAGACCTGGAAGCACCAGGTCCATTAGTCGTTTGAAAGTGGCTGGTGCGTTGCAAAGGCCGAATGGCCTTATAATAAATGGGAGAGACATGTTTTCTTGCTCTTAACAGCTGTTTTATTTGTTTTCGTAAGGTTGCCTGTCTGGCCTATGTAGACATTTTCTTACAGAGCAGTCAAGTTTACCGAACAAAGAAAGGTCAAAGCGCAAATTGCCTTGATCTGAAAAATGTCTCCTTTCTGACATTGAGGGCTGCAAAATCAATCCAGAAATGTATGGGTGACAGTCGATGGGGCCAAAGACCAATGCTCCTTAGCAATGCACATCCGTGATCTGGTGAAGTTCTTTGATGAGAGCTCTTGTTTTACGACACCTGGAGCATTAGAAAAGGAAAGTGGTTCAGGCCACCATTAAAGTGTTGTAACTTTCTGAGAAATAGGGTTGTAAGACAAGAAATGGTTGGTGCGTGTTGGGTTGTAGTGTGCACTAGTGAAAATCGAGCCGCGTTTGTTGCTGTGAAATAGGAAAGAAAGGACGAGATTTTTTCACATGATCTAGATCATGAAAAGACTTTACACTAAGGTAACTTTGCACTCACGGTTTTCATTGAATTAACTGTTTCAATAGGAATGTTTTGCTTATTATTATGTTACTGTGGGTGTTTTGGTGTAAAATGGTTCTACAACAGTACAGTAATAGTGATCAAACATCACTGCAGTGAAAAACTGTGCAAAAGTGTTTTCGTTTTTTTAACTATTTCCTGTATACACTGATTTAGATGTACTTGACGAAGCACAAGATCGACTACAACTGGAGATTTGCCGAGTTAGTTCATCCAGACAGACTTAAAACTCTCAAAGGCCACGATGACCATGTGGTAATTATATGTTGGTGTAGTGTTTGTTTGTGGCAATGTGTTAAAAGTGCTGCTTAATGTGCGTCTAGTATTATATTTTTAGTGTTTGGGCTACAGTTATAGTAGCCAAATAATCATTTGATGCATAGAAGTATATGTGAAAGGAGATTTCTGAGCAGTTAAAAAAAATGTTTCCACCTTGTTGCTGTTCCTCTCCATTGCAATCAACCGTGCCAGGAAAAATATGTAACGGTTTGCACATGTTCAACACTTAGCAACGAACACAAATTTTGCTGTGTATGTAGCTCACATAAAGAAAAGAATATGCCGTAGAATAATGAAAAACACACTGGTTGTTGCATTCTATTGATATACACACTTTTTCAGTCTTTACTTCATGTCTGTCTCTACGTTTTTTTTGTTTGAAGAAGAAGATGAACAAAACTCCCTATTGTTGCTCCATAAATCTGCGATGCATGCCCACCCTATAGCTTTACTAAGTCCTAGTGGTGAGAAAGAACAAGAAGATGATGATAAAAACTTTCCGTGTCGTTTGTTGTACCTTTGCCTTTCTACCTCATAGTGGATGCATGCATATACTCAGCTTGGAGTTGGGTTTCTTTTGTGGTTTAATTACCCCGGTACTCCTGCATACTGAGTGAGAGTATACTGTGCCATAGCACAGTGATTTGAGGTTTGCCTTCGTGTTGTATTGTGTTGAAGATATATAACCCCCTACCAACTGAGTTGCCCTTGTAGCTCAGTTGGTAGAGCGCTCGCCTAGACACCTGTGTTGAGCCCACCTACGGCAGCTCTTTTTCGTTAATAAAATAGGAGCAGTCCTTGGTGTAGTTGACTGTTTGTTGTGCCTTTGTTTTCTCGTTGTAGTTGACACATGCCAATACTCAGTTTGGAGTTGGGCGACCCCAGTCTGCTTATTCATACCGAGTGAGAGTATACTGTGCCATAGCACAGTAGTTTGAGGCTTGCCTTTGTGTTGAAGATTTGAACCCCAACCAGCTGAGTTGCCCTGGTAGCTCAGTTGGTAGAGATCTCTCCTAGACAGCAAAGTGCTTTAGGTTCGAATCCCACCTAGGGCATCTCTTTTTTCCTTGGAAAATAAGAGTTATCCTTGGTGTAGTTGACTTGTTTGTTGTGCCTTTTCATTTCTACCTCGTAGTTTACACACACATCTATGATGCTAGTTTCCGTGCCCAATCCTATATACTGAGTACTCCCATACTTTGTGATCATGAATGCATCTCCTTTTCACTTAAAAGGTTAGCAACGATTGTGCGTGGGCGTATGTTTCAGATATTTTTTTCAATGGCACAGCAAAAACACTGGTGATTTATGGTGAATTTAGGTGTATTTCTCGGATCTTTCCTACCTTGTTTTCCAAACTCATTAGCATATTCATATTCCTCCTCTCCATGAAAGAGAAAACTCGTGCGCGACTCACCCAGGAGCCAACGGTCCATCTCCATTATGCGCAATGGCGTTCTTTCTGCCTCCTGCGGCACGCGCAGGCGTATTAGAGCCATCTGGCGTGGCAGCATTACGTTTTCACGTTGACCTTTGCCACCCGGTCACGCCCGTTTTTTTCTATAGCGCAAAATTAGCTTCCCGCGTACCGAAGCAGGCAAAGAAAGCCACTGCGCATATTGGAGACGGACCGTTCGCTCCTGGGTGAGTCGCGCACGAGTTTTCTCTCCCATAGAGAATGTATTGAGGAGGAATATGAATATGCTAATAAGTTTGGAAAACAAGGTAGGAAAAATCCGAAAAATATACCTAAATTCACCATAAATCACCAGCGTTTTTGCTGTGCCACTGAAAAAATATCTGAAAGATGCACACGCACAATCGTTGCTAATCTTAATCCTGCATCACTCTCCATTACTGCATTAACCCTCAACAGCGTACATGCGGACTGAGGGTTACAGTACTTTTCTCCATATCTTTTGTCAGCGTCAGTCATGTGTTGTGGGAGTGTCCTCCTTGATGTGATTGTTGAAGTGGCTGGCCCAGCTGTTGGTTGATACTTGCATTCACCTCTGTTAATAGTTGTACATCTTTAAAGCTCTGTTTGTGTGTTGTGTTCGTTGTCAATGGCTCTTGTGTTGTTGGTACTGTTATAGTTATTATTATCTAGTTACCATTAAAACACAGAGGAGAGTGGTCATGATTATCACTTTAACACTATGCGGGCGCCACGCGCCACTTTAATGTGTGGCGCAGACACATTAATGCGAAACAGCGGGCTTCCCTCCTGAATAATCTTTCTTTTTTATACCTGGGCGTGAGTACTTCACTGGACAATCAGAAGAGCTGCCTGTCTTTTCTTTTTTCCGCTTTGCTGGGGCTTGCTGCCGCTCACACGAACGAATTAATGCACATGCCCCGTGTGAAAAATTCCGCGTACACGCATAAATGTTATTATTTCCCAAAGTGTTGAGAAAGTACCGCTCACGCTGGCATATATTTTTGACCCAGCAGTTCATGGACTACTTTTGTAGTGCAAACATTGTAGGGCACCTTTGAAGTGTCGCAGAGTATAGAAGTAAGGTTAGCTGTCAAACAGACGAGGCTTGCTTGTTTGGTCCAGAGCAGCATTAACTGCAAAAAGGACATGTTTGTGAAATCACAGATCGCATTCCGAGTGCCACACTTTCTGTAACTCACAGTGAAGGACCATGGGGTTCATGGGCATTTATCATCTTTGAGTACTTTCACCGCTGTACACGCCCAACTACATCACTTCTCCGATCCTTGCTTACATCCACTTTTATCTCTGTGTTATTTTTTTTCTACAGAAAGAGATATTACTGGATGTCTTAGGCAATCTATAGTGCGTGGCTATCCTCCTCTGATTTTTTTAATGCTCTTCTGGGGCAGTTAAGGGTATCGGGGTCAGATACATTGCTGGGTTCCAGAACTTGAAGTTGTCATATAAAGTAGCATCAACATTAGGTAATAGGATAGCTAAGATTGGAAGTAGACATAGGATATAGTAGGTATGGATGTTGGAGATGTCACTCAGGCATGAGTACGGCAATAATAAAAACACAGGGTAGCAGGACTAATACTGTGCTGCAGCTGTACCATTCTTGTTATCCAGGTGCCCCAAGAAATGCAATTATGCATGCATGCGTTTAATATCCATGATGCACAGCAAGCGGGCTCTGTTTAAACTGTCCTACAACTTTACGGTAGGTTATACTCACCTATAAGCAAACTTGTGCTACCGCACTGGGAGCTCTTGGTTGTACGCTCGTTATAACGCATGTTTGCGTAAACAGCATTGATAGTAGTACGTCCAGGTGTGAGGTAAGCGTGAACAGGCTTTAGTTTAACAGCACCTTACACTTTTGTATGACATAGCAACTTTTGTATACTTGACAGATTTAGTTTATGTGTTAATCAAAGCACATGCCATGTGCTCAATGCTTAATTATGCGTCAGTATTAGTCCTGCTACACATTATTGCCGTACTCATGCCTGAGTGACATCTCCATCTTGGAGTATACCCAGGAAATACATTATAGTGGGCTCACGTGTGTCAATGTAACTCACAAATTGTAAGAGCTATGTGGATGAAACTCTGCACAAGCTGCAGCTGTAACATTCTTGTTGCCCTGTTACAGGATGTCACATGCATACAAGGCTGCATTCAGCCTTTATCAGTCGGCTGCGGGTTCCCGGCTACTTGCTGACGGTCATATGCCTGCCATCCACTTCCTTTGCATCGGCGTGCTTCCCGCAGCATCATAGTCTGATAGGCAAAGTGTTGGTTTACCATGTTGGGTGCTTTGCTGTCAGAACTGCTGCACACACACCAACGCCTCAGCAGGCAGCTGCTAAAATCACTGCTGCCCCTAAACATTCCGCTCCTCTCGGTCTGGTCACACGAACAGTCTCAAAGTAGCGAAGGGTTCTCTTGCAGGACCTTGTGAATAGACGTCTTCAGCATGGCACTGAACTCCTGACCGGGTGATCCTGGAGCGGCCGTGTCCTCGGCCATCGGTGCAGAAGAGAGAAGAAATAAGAGAAAGCGGTTCCTTGCAGCTGTGAAAGTGCAAATCCTGCCACGTGTACCTGCGGTCACTATATACGTGCATGCGTGGCTTTCATTCTACCATCCATCCCACTTTCACCGCCTTCTGAATTTAACTTGGTTGTATATCCTATACAAATGGAGCACTTTTCATTTCACCCTGGCCACAGTGCTGTTCGTTCCATTTATATCCTAACTGCACTAGGTTGGAGAGCCTGTGCCTGCCATAGTAAGCTTTGCTTTTTTTATTGCTTGTCAGTGCTACCTACAGCGTAGAATCATCTTGTGTGCGGGTGAACGCAATGTGGATGTTTGTCAGGGTTATCCTATGAGTCCAGTACTCTTTATCTGGGCAACTGTGGAGTATGACTAGATAACTAGGGGTAATGTTCGCAAATAATATTGTGATCCTCTCTAAGGACCCAGATGGTCTTCAAAGTTCACTTGACAGGTTAGCACGTACTGCTCGAAATGAAAATTAAAAGTTAATCATAGGAAAACATGAAAAACACCAAAGTGTAAACCCTCGGTGAACTGCTCATGCGCGGTACTGCCAACTGGGTATAATAGTATTCGTTTACTCGTTGTCTCCCGCTAGTAGGTCATGGAGAGTCTGACATGGGCTAGCTACGGTAGTAGATAGCATGCGGGAGTCGATACATGTTGTTTGTTGCGACTTCTTGTGCCTTCAACATCCACAGAACAAGCGGACCCGGTGGAGATAAGCTAATTAGCATATTGCCTTGTTCACTTGGTTTTCACGTCTGAACGGGGCACTTTTACGAAAATCACCATTTTTGAAATTAAGCCAGTGTAGCGCTGAACCCGTTGGTGTCGTTATTTTACCTGTTTGTTGCACGTGGTGGCAGAAAACGTGAGACGGACAGACAGATGGACAGACGGACAGACCAAATACTATAACCCTCGCTGTGCATGCGCACCGAGGGTTAGTAAGTGATTTTAATTTCTAACTCCTCAATGAAGGATATTTTTCCTCGTGTCTGTCTAGGTCTGAGTGGTAGGGGATAATATGTAGTTTCTAGCCTAGAAGCCATAGAGCTTCAAACGATAGTACATTCGTATTACCCGCAACCGCCACTGACTGTGGTCTCCTTGTGCACCATTAATTGCATTCAAATTGCCATACACCACTCATGGCAGAGCTGAAAACGCTGCTGCTCGGCAACCTCAGGAGCTACACATGCTTGTTTTGTCGCTGGTTGGGTTTTTGCTTCCTTGTTGAGTTGTTTTTCCATGCTCTTATATAACCATTTCTCGCTTGCGCAAGTGCTGACACTTAACTGTCTCGCGAATGGCACGCGAGTCATACTGTTGCGAAACGGTGACGCGAGGTCTGTCATAGTACTGGCTTCATAAGACCTAGTTGTCTAGGCTACAAATAGCCGCCTTTGATCTGAGTGTGTGGTGGGCTATACCACTGGTTATTATACGTACCATTGGTGGGTTTTCTACTGCCCTCGTGTGGTAACCTCGGGTATATTTTCTGTACACCTTCTAAGCCCATAGTTGGTCTGTTCGATTCGTATATCCTTTCCCTATCCTCTCTCCATTCCTTTTCATACCTTCCTTAAGATTCGCAGGATTTTAATTTTATTTCTTGTTTTGGCTTTGTCAGGTGACATGCTTGCAATTTACAAGAAATAGAATTGTTAGCGGGTCAGATGACAATACCCTGAGAGTATGGAATGCAACTACAGGAAAGGTACATTATACTATGTTGTTATCAATCTTATTCGTTCAGAAGTGTATGCAATTGTTGCTACTAGAGCTTAAATTTTGACTGATAGAGTGCATCATCGTTAACCTTTGCACTCATGCATGAGCAGTGAGGGTTACAATACTTGGTTTGTGAATGTGTCATTCTCTCCATCTGTGTGTTTGTACGCTAATATTACCGGCTTAATTTTATATTTGGAGATTTTCATACAAACACTGTGGCGTAAAACCAAGTGAACCAGTAAACATATAAATGCAGGCAATATGCATAATACGCATGCGCATTATTACACACTGCTAATTAATGGGGCGGGGCCACCCAACACCAATTAACCCCTGTCAATGGAGACAGTTTCATCATTCTTACAGAGGCTGGCTGCATTGCCATGTATTGATTGCTTTACTAGATGCAGATCCCTCGAATACCTTATCCCTCACCACATTATTTTTTACATACCGACATTGGGTTTATATCCTACACAAGACATTTCCCAAACCTGAAAGCATTCAACTTTGTAAAATCTGTTGTCCTACCAGTGATATGAAAAGCACTAAAGTGCAAACTTCCTAGGAGAGAAAGCGACGATGCCATGCTCCTGGGTACAAGTACTCGAGTATGTAGAAAGGAGTTAGGGGATTTATTGGCCTCTTAATGTCCCTGTCAGAGAATTAGTAGGTTTGTCTGTGTGCCGTATAAGTTTTTATTTCATACAGGTGTAATATTGTGCGATCTAAAAGAAGTCGCGCGTCAATTATTTATGCGTTTCATCTTGGTCCCTTTATGTCACTAATACAATGAGAATTCAAACCAAGGACATCAGGGAATTTCCTGAAGAACTTGCCCAATAACGGCATAGTGCATATAGTTGGCTAAAACATTACTTGTAGCCCAGCATGCACTGATATCAATGGCTCCAACATGCTGTTATTGTGCATAGGCCTGCTGTGTGCAATGTTAACATTATTCACGCTAATGCGCTCTGCGGTCAGGCATGAATATTTAAACCTGGTAACAGGTGTATTGGCAAATAAAACCCATGGCAATAGGTGTATCACCTGCGGTCGGGCTAATGAAAACGGATGTTACCGTGGTCTGGCGCTGGTGGCCCAGTACCCGAAGCGCAGCGAGCGAGTCACACCTTGAGCCTCGACCGCTGCCACATGCGAAAATGCCATGGGAACGCTACGCTCCAGCTTTGCAAGGTCTTGTTTGTTTAAGCCTGGCTCCCACTGGCTACGCTATGATAGCGTCACTAGGAAGATATGTCCACAGCTCCTCAGCTTACGTACCTCCCCGGAAGCAATAGTTTCTCGCGCTGAAATTGTAAGCATTGCATATGTCTTTCCCCAAGCAACAACACCTTCAAGGAATGATCTAGTCCGCCATGATGTACACGAATTCCAAAGTGAACCCGCCAAAACGCGACCATACTAAAAACCCATTTGACTGGGCTATAAACCAGTTATACCAGGCCGGTTGCGGGTGGCTTGCAGTTATATACCCTCATGCAGGAATGTAATCTGAATTGCATTCGAATACGCATGCCATCCTGACTGGCCTGATATAACTAATAACTAATAAGAGGCTGGAAAGGGTGGCATATATACCCAATGTAGGAATGCAATTAGAACCCTTGCACTAATTGCATTCCTGCACTCGGGCGTAGAACCACAAACAACCTCCAACTGGCCTGGTATAACTGGTTTTCAACTGTGCTGTTGGCATTTTGGTGGGTTCACTTTTGAATTTGTGTGCATCGTGGCGGACTGGAGCGTTCGCGAAGGCGTTGTGGCTTGGGAGAGACAAATCCAGTGCATATGACTTCAGTGCGAGGATCTATTGCTTAATTAACTGTTAAGTAAGCAGTAATTAACTGCTAAGACACCCGTTACCTCAGCTAATGAAAAGCACTAAAGTGCAAACCCTCGGCGGTAAACTAGCGAGTTGTAGCATCGCTGTATGCTGGGCCGTGCATCATCGACGGAGCCAGTAACACGAGTCTCACCGTAATTGCATTAGCGGTTAGAGCAATAGCTCATGTGTTTCAGAGGCTCTCATATTTGCTTTATTCAATCTATCCGCTCTTCTGTGTTTCAATGCTCTCGCCAGATGTTTTATAGATGGGAAGGCAAGGCCACAACCACAAACTGCTCGCCACCTGAACTATTATGCTACATCGCGAACATACCTTGCTCAGCATGTTTATCGTTTATCCATAGGGAACAGAGATCAAAACTGACAGGAGGCCGTGGATCGTATATAAGCTTACAACCAACGTGGCGTAGCGCATGCTCCGGCGACATGACGCATGCACGCTATATAGCTATATATATAGCTAGCCTGCACGAGAGGGCGCGTGCGCGATTGCGACCGCGCGTTGGCTTTTTCACGCCATATCTCTGGAACACAGTCGTTTCAGGAAAATCGCCACATTGATATCAATCTTCTGTTCGTTCACAACCCGTTGGTGCCACTCATTGGCCGCCTCGTAGCCTGTAGTGGTAGAACTCGCGCGGACAGACAGACAGACAGACAGAACGACTACTGTAACCCTCGCTGTGCATGCGCGCCGAGGGTTAATAATGACATTCATGCGTGACTTCAAGCTGTAGGTATGAGCCTTGTCGGCACTTTTGATCTGAGTACCTACTAGGCTACAACTAATACTTTATAGTGCGTATTATGCACGTTCAGGTGTTTGCACGCGGGTTAGCATATTGTTTATGCACTCCTGCAATATTAACAAATAAATTTCTCATGTGAATAACTACCACACAAATGTTCCCATGCCTCTTTGACTGATAAAAGGAAGACTGCTTCATGGTGCGCTGAACGGGCAAAACACTGTCGAGGTACATAAGCTATGCAGATCGCTTGTTTTCACACCATATTTCCCAAATGCGATTGTTTTAGGAAAAGCGCCATTTTAAGGGGGGAGGGGGGACATAGTTAATTTCATACTACCTATAAAGGAAATTATATTGAGCATAGGGTGTCATTTCGTCCTAAGTGACTTGTAAAAACCATAAAGGGGTGTGGTCATTGATCAGTCGGAAGACAACTGCCAAGCCTCTTTTTTTGCAAGAGCAGTTATATCGTGTGACCTACTTAGTGCCCACTTAGCTAATCAGTTGATAAAGTGTATGTATGACATTGCATTTTACAAGAAGCCCAGCAGTAAATTTTAGCCTGTTTTAAAAGGTAGAAGAGCATGTGGCGACATGCTTTTCTAGGGTTAAAATCAGGATAAAATTTTACTGCTGGACTCCTTGTAAAACTGCAATGTCATTACATTCCTCAGCTGATTAGCTAAGTTGGTAAACTAGTTATAGGTGCAAAGTTGTAGGCACAAATGTTTGCAAGTCTTTATTGCCTGGCAGTTTGTTGTTGTGTAATTTTTGGTTTTGATGAACTCTTATCATTGTACATCAGTATACCAAGTTTCATTGTTAGAGGACCCACCACAAGAGTTATAGGCACAAAACACCATTACAAAGTTTTTATTGCCTGATGATGTTTGTTGTTTTTAATAGTGATGGGTTGCATATGCGTACAAAGTTTAATTACTCCGGGTATTAGCCTTACATAGTTGGCACACTTTATTGGTGTTTATATCATAGTTAGTGGTGTTATTTTTTGTTTACATTGCCTTTATAACTCCTCAAGCTTGTTACGGTAGCATGCATAGAGATGAAACTTGGTACTCATACGTTATTAATATCGTTTCAAGGCCGACCACATATTGTTTGAACAGCAACGAACAGTCTCAACCTTTTCTTTTAAATTTCTTCTTCACTCCGCAAACTTGGTAGCACGCATGGTGACACATTCGTATCATTTCAAACACAACCACATGTTTGTAAACAAGAACAGCATTAATCTCCATTATTCGTTTTTATAGTGGGTTTGCCCTCTATATATGTAGTTGTATGTCAAAATGATTGGAGATAAGTAAATATAAAAATCCTGCGAATTTAAAAGTTGCTTATAAAAGGAGATGGGACACATGAGGCATAGTTAAGGGACAGATTTGAGCATGCTGGCACCAACTCTATTATACAATCCCTATATTGTTGCCTAGGTAAATATTCACAATTCTAATAGTCTGGACTTATAGCTTGAAAATTTGAGTAACCAACACAGTTTTGTCCAAATGAAGTTTTAGGAATGGCACACCAGTCAACAATATTGGGATTGTATGATTGGGTCGTGGGTGTCAGCATGCTCAAATCTGTTCGTTAACTATGCTTCATGTATCCCATCCCTATCTTGTCTCCCTTTCTTTTCGTAAACACCACTTTTAAAAATAGCAGGATTTTTAATTTCCTTGCAGGAGGTTATTTAGTGTTTGGTCACAAAGCCTAATCCATGCACTGGTTGGTTGTGCCTTTTGTAGGCTAGAAGCCATTGAGATCAAAGCTTCCAACAACACTACATTCGACGTAGCTGCAACCGCCACTGAATATTGTTGACACGCGTCAATTATATTTCGGAAGGCTCCGTCTCACATATCAATGTGTTTGGCCTAGTTTTCTAACTCAGACAGCTAGTTCATACGTGGTTATCCATCCAATAATCTGATCGTCTCCTTAGTGTTAATTGTGTACTAGCCTAGGTCACTCACCCTGCCAGTCTCTGCCAGTTTTTTCCGCGTGAAATGAAAGGCGGGCTCCCGTTTTTATAAATAGACTCCGCATCTCGGGCTCATCGGCTTTTTTCTAGCTCGTTGAGCAGCAAGAAGCAAGTCAAAGTATACCCAGAGAAAATGGAGAACCAGAGTTACAGCGACGGCATCGGAGCCCTCCTTGCTGCGGCCTCCAAGGTGGAGTCCAAGACTTCAGCTGTATCACCGAGGGACCAAGTCCCCTCCGACTATTCACCAAGGATCCGAGCCTCCTCCACGGACGACGCGACCGATCTCCGTGAGATGATGCGAGCGGTATCCTTGCTGCTCGCCACATTTGTTGGCATGATGTCATCCTTCT